AAAAAAATAGTTGTGGTATATAAAATTATTCTTCATATATAGAAAGACAAAAAGCCATCTTCAAAATGATAAAAAAAAATCTTAATTTTGTTGTTGTACTGGGGATTAACCCTAAAGCCTTGGGCATCCCAGGCAGTTGCTCTGCCACTGACCTATAAAAGGTATATTTCCTTTTTTTAAAAACTAGGAAGTCAGATATGGTGGCAAATGCATGTCATCACATTCACCTGGGAGGTTGAAGCTGGAGGACATGTGAATCCTAGGGCTCGAAGCCAGCCTGGGCAACAAAGTGAGACTCTGTCTCAAGAAGAGAAAAGTTAGTTGGGGAGATGGCTCAGTGGCAGAGTGTGTGCTTGCACACCCAAGGCCCTGGATTCAATCCCTAGCAACATATACACACACAAACACATAAACACATAAACAAAAAGATAAGTAAACTAGAAGGGCTGTAAGTATATTGTATATACTACAATATTAATATTAGTTATATAGGAAGAAAAACTGTATAAAACAGTTTGTGCTTGCATGCATATCTGTATTTATTTCCACAAATCCTACACTGTGCTGGAAGCTAGAGAGGTAGTGATGAATAGATGGGGTGACTTTGAACATGCTTGAACCAGATGAAAAAACAGAAAATCTGAGCAAATAAGTAAAAGCTATGCAGGAGAACCAAATGGAAATTTTACAACTCAAAATATCACAACCAAAATGAAAAACTCAGTGGATGGTTTAACAGCTGAATAGAGAGGCAGAGGAAAGAATCAGTGAACCAAAAGAAAAATAGGTGGTAAGCAATTGAAACAACAGATAGAAAACAAGCCGAACAAGGAAAGTGAGTAAGACCTCAGAGACCTATGGAAAATACCAAAGATCTCTGACGTCAGAGTCCCGGGAAAGAAAAAGGGAGGCTTTTCTTCAAAAAGATTTGAACAAAGAGTCATGGAGTCTCCCCCAGCATGGCAAAGAATATGACCTACAGCAAAAATCTCAGAGAATCCAAAACGGGATAAACCCAAATAAGTCTGTACAAAGGTCAAAGTCCTAAAAGTTAAAGACAAAGGAAAAAGTTCTACAGCAACAACAGAGAAATAACACTTTACCTCTAATGGATAAACAATTGTGAATGCCAGATTTCTCATCAGAAACCTTGGGGGCCTCAGCATTTCTTAAGTGTTAATCAAAAGGGTTGTGAAGCTGGAATTCTATATCCAATGAACACATCCTTAAAGAATGAAGAGAAAATCAAGAGATACCCACATGAAAGGTACTATAGCTTGGATCAAATGTCCCCCAAAGCCTGTGTGTCAAGGGCTGTGTGCCAGTCTGGCACTACTGGAATGGGATGGATCCTTTAAAAGGTGGGGGTCCAGTGAGGGCACATTCTGAAAGGGATTGTGGGACCCCAGCTTTTCCTCTTCCTCCTATCTTTTGAGTTCCAGCCATGAGGTGACAGCCTTCTCTGTGACATCCATCCATCATCACATACAGTGCCACCATATACTCAAAGTAACAGAGCCGTCAGTTTGTGGATTGAACCCTACCTAATGGTGAGTTGGAATAAACTTTTCCTCTTTTTAAGTTGATTATCTTAGCTATTTTGCTATAGTAACCAAGAGCTGGCTTAATAAAAAGAAAAATTTTTACTAGCAGAACTGTTGAAAAAGAATGGCAAAGAAATTTCATTTAGCAGAAAGGAAGCGATAAATAAGAAACCTTAAGAAAGAAGGTTATATTAAAGAAAGAAGAAAAAAATAATAAAATATGGGTAAATACAATAGATTTCCCTCTTTTTCTGAAATTTTCTAAGTTGTCTTTAATAGTTGAAGCAAAATTGGTAGTAATGTCTGATATGTTCCAGTGTATATAGAGGAAATAGGACAATTTTCTAATAATGGGAGAAGTTAAAGGGAAGTTACAGTAGGAAATTTGTACACTTCACTAAAACTCGCAAAATGTTAACAGTAGTAGATTGTGACTAGCTGTATCTTATAAAAGGATAATGCAAGACTTATTTTTGTAGTGAAGGGGGATAGTTCCATACTTTTATTCCAGTGATGGCGACATGAATCGACAGGTGGTGAAATGATATAGTACCACAGACACACACAGACAGTCTCAGTATTAATTTCCTTGTTTTGATATTGTACTATAGTTACAAAAGATGTAGCCATTGTATTAGAGGTTTTGTTTGGTTGGTTTTGAGACAAGAGTTTCACTATGTAGTTCAGGCTGACCTAAAACTCACTTTTAAGCCCAGGCTGGCTTCGAACTCACAGTGGTCCTCTGGGACCACAGCCTCTGTGAGGAGCTGGGGTGTGTTCTTTCCAGGATGGTGCTGCAGCGGGAGGCCTGCACTACCTCCCCAATCTCCTGGGTATGCAGGGTGCTACAAGGCATCTCACTTATAAGAAGTCACAGCCAACAAAATCAAGGACTTTCTCCTCATTTTTGTTTTCTTTTCTTTTGCAACTCTTTGCAAAAGTAGAAATTGCATACAACTGCTGCATACCTACAGGGCACCCTCTGTCGCTTTTCCTCTCATTGGAGTGCTGTGAAGAGGTTGCTGTTTCTGGGCAGGAGGGGCTGAAGAGTCACAAGGTGTCTGACTCCAGAGGCTGCGTCCTTAACTTCTTCCCTGAGGCCTTTAGTGCAAGACAATGCCAGCATTTGTCCCCAGGGCGAGTGAGTCCCCTTCCTCGCCTGTACACAACTGGCACTTTCTTGGGGTCGCAGGGTACGATTAAGAGAACTCTGTGATATGTTATACCATCTTTCTGCCAGATACAAGCTGAAGTCCCAGTGGTTTGCATTGGTTGTCAAAGCAGAGATGAACAGTCTGAGTCACAGAGTAATTTATTTTGAATTTGGCTTCTGCACCCATTGCTAAGTCATTTCAAAAGTGGGCCACAGGCGTGGGAATGGCCCGAGTGACATCATGATTCGCAACGCAATCCCGCCCCGGGAGGCTGAGCCCTGGATTCAGAACTAGTGCTTGCCTCCTGTCCCTCACCCGTGCGCAGTGCGCACTGCTGTCTGCTCTGTGGTTTTGTCTGCTCCCCAAGCAGCTGCCTGACGCACTCTCGTCTTTCAGGTGGAGCCACCAACTTTCCGCTCCGGGCTCCAGGGTTAAGACAAGGACTGTCCTCCCAAGTCATGCCAGAGCTTTCATTTTCTTTTCTTCCCTTTCGGCATCAGTGTTTTTAATGGAAACCTGATTCACTTGTCACCAAAAAAAAAAAAAAAAAAACACAAGAGAGTGCTGCATCAGAGATGAACAAAACCTGTCTACTGGGATCCTGTTTCGGGGTGATCACCCTTGTGTTGAAAAGAAATCTGCCAAAAGAGGCCAGAAAGACAACTCCTCCTGAGGGGTCGGATGGAGCTTCTCTGAGACCCCAAGGAACATCTAGAATAAATGATGTCCTGAAGTGCAAGAGTCTATATCATGTCAGTCTTGTGAGGTTCACAAGAAATGTGCACAATTTAGTGTCAGCAAATGCAGTGTATTAAGATTTGAAGATTTGGAGTACCATCCTGCTCCTTGTTTTTGGAGATGGGTTTCCCCACTTGCTACCTGATGGTCAAACTGTAAGATGGGAAGGAATATAGGAATTCTTACTTAATAGATCTTAGAGTGAGAGTTAAATGAAGTAAGGAGCATAAATTAGACACCCTGATACACAGAAAGTATAGTGAGATGGTTAATGGCAAGGACTCTGGACCTAATTATTTAGATAAAAAAATCTGTTCTGCTATAAACTGGCTTGGTGAATGAGGGAGTTATCTGACCATCAAGGACTCGTTTCCTCGTCCCTCAGGGGTTGGAAATGGCAACAGCAGCGTCTCCTCACGGGCCGTGCGGGTCGTCGTGGGTTAGCACGTGGGAAGCACCGGGAGCCACCTTGGTACGCGATGCTCTTTGGGTTCCTCCCATTGTCACGGTGCACGCATAAGTGATCTTGGGGATCTATTATGAGGGCACAGCGTCCTTTTTGTATAATTCTGAATCCAGTCTTTGCCCTTTAACCTCACAGGCTGGCATTTTAGGAGGGAGCCTATAGATGGCCTTACACCTGGTCATCTTTGCCACAGCATAGAATAAGCATATGGCTACTTTGTCTGAGCTCAGGAAGAAAAAGGTGAATAATATCTACTGAGCATCTACTATATGTTTACACTCCAGATACGTTACATGTATACACTCATTTCAACCCTCATAATAATCCTGAAGATAAGTGTACCTTAAGTGAGAATAAAGGTTCTGAGAAATATTAACGTATTCCAAGACACAAAGCAGAGAGCTGCGACATCAGGATCAGAAGACAGATTTGCCTGACTCGAAAACCCAGATCTTCCCCGACCCTCTGACTATGAGATAGCTTTTCATTGCTGTTAAAATCAACTTAAAAGGAGGACATCCAGGAATGGTGGTGCACGCCTCTGATCCCAGCACACAGGAGGCTGAGGCAGGAAGATCGCTTCAAGTTTAAGGCCAGCCTGGACTACATAGGGAGTTCAAGACCAGCCTAAACTACATAGTGACATCTCATTTAAAAAAACCAACAAAACAAAGCCAGTTCATTGTAGCTCATGGCTTCAGAGGTTTCAGTCCATGGCCACTGGCCCTGTTACCCTGGGCCTGTGGCAACATAGTCCATCATGGCAGGAGTGAGCACAGGAAGCTGCTCACCTCTTGCTGGCACCTCTTGGAAGCAAAAAAAAAAAAGAGAGAGAGAGAGAAGAATGAACTGGGATCCCAATACTCCCTCCAAAGGTGGTGCGCCAGTGACCTAACTTCCGCCAGCCCTCATCTCCTAAAGGTTCCACCACCTCCTGACAGCCCCATAGGCTGGTGCCAGACCTTCCACACACAGGTCTTTGGAAGACATTCAAGAGCCGCACTGCAGCCCCTTGCCTTGGGAAGGAATCCAGACTGAAGGCATCAGCCACCTGCTCAGCAGTACCCAGACTGACATTACCAGGAGGCAAGCTCTTACCTTCTGCATAGGTTTAAAGATGCAGACACTCTGCTGATAGAAATTCCCACTGAAGTGTAAGTCTCTGACATAAGATCATTTCCTGATATCAGATTTGGTTGTGGCCGGAACAAAAGGGCACTGGTCCTGGAAAGAGAATTCCAGATCAATTTGAGGTCACCACTTAACTACTTCCCTAGGCAATTTTATTTGCCCTAGAAAACTCTAATTTTTAATGTCTGCCCCTTCTAGGGTTCCCATACATTTAGTAGAAGCATGTCCCTTGCAATGTTTAGGACTTAATAAAATTACTAGGATATTATTCATCTCTTTAAACTGAAATTCAGATTTAAGTGGGCATTCTGTATTTTACCTGGCAACCCCAGCTCCTTGACCTGAAAGTTTCCTACTGGGTATGTCACAGGTCGAAGGGGACAATGGTGCCAGGTGTCGCCTGACGTCAGAAAAGTGAGCCCAGTGTCTGCTGACCCTAGACACTTACCGTCACCTTTGAGCTGCACTCCAGATTTTCTGGACTGAACTTCCCAACAGTATTTTTCACAGGTTCCCAAAGGACCAGCAGACTAAGGGAGTGGCTGCCAGTTCTGAGAGCAGGAATGACAGGGTGGTGAGGAAGGCAGACGGGATGATCTTCCCCCTGTGCTTTTGATCTGTGTGTTTGCTTCCACAACAAACGACCGTGAATTCAATGGGATAAAACAATACCTGTTTACTAACTCCAGCTTCTGTAGGTTATATGTCCAGCTGAGTTTACTTCAGTACTTTACTTAGGGTCACCCAGCCTTGGCCCTGGGGGACAATGTACTTCCATTGTCATTCAAATTTTGGCATAATTTAGTTTTCTCTCGTGTAGTTGTTGGACTGATGTCCCTGTGTCTTTGCTGGTTATTGGCTACCGGTCATTTCTAGCTTCTGGAGGCCATAACTTCATGGGCCTGTGTCCTGTCCATCCTCAGAGCCAACAACAGTGCAGTAGATCTTTCTCTAGGTTTGACCCCACCACACTTCCCTTGGCTGCTCCCTCTGGCAGCCTCTGCTTTCCTCTTATGCTAAGCGCTCCTGAGATTACACTGCACCCACCCAGCTAGTCCCGGATACTCTTCATTTTAAGGTCAGTTGATTAATACGTTAAATTACATGTGCAGCATCCACTCTGTACATAACGTTGTATAGGCACAGGTCTAACAGCGGAGGCACAGGTGATGGGCTGGAAATCCTGTCTACAGGACGCACAGGCTTTGGAAGCTGAGCTTCACCCTGAATGGTCAGGGTTGGACCACTTGCCAAAGCAGAATAGCGACTCTCATCATATCAGCAGCTATAACTCTTCACATCCACTCTCATGCAGTGTGAGATAATCAAAGTAGAACCGAAAGAACTTTGTTTTGGTCCCAGCTCCATACCCACCAATCCAAGTGAACAGCTGACAAGTCACTTAGTCTCTTGGCTGCTTTATCTGTTAAATGCACTGTGCTAGGTGAGGAGTCTGGCTCCTGGCCAAACACCTATGCGATCTCCCCCCGCTCCAGGTCCTGCCACAGGCCCTGATGAAGGCTTCCTGTCCTCCCTACCCCAGACCTGGTGCCCAGCCAGCACAGTCAAGGGCTCAGGCCCTGCCGGCCAAGGCTCTTACACACGTCTGCATGCCCAGCCCAGGGACCTCCACTGGAGGTCTTCTTCCTAGATCAGCAAGGCCTTTCTCAAGTGACCAGGGGAGCCCTGGAAGACCCCTTTTCCACCCTGACTTAGTCTCTAGTACTTTTCTGCTCTTAGTCCTCCCCCTGACTCCCTGTCCTCCTTGGCCCAGGTGCTCCCAGGCCATAAAGCTGTCAGAGCATTTTGCTCAGAGTCCCAGGCAGTGGCCAGTCCCCGCCGTGTGCTGGTCTGTGCTGACACAGTTGACTTCACTCAGTGCCATTGCAAGGGGCCCGTGCTTTCTCAGTGCAGTTCATGAGAAAAGCCTCCGGTTACTTCCATTTTGTCCCACTGACTGCTCCCACACCCCGCAGATCTGCTCTCTGCAGCCTGCAGAGCTCCCCACAAACCGCGTCCTCACAGTATTGTGAGGTGCAGGGCTCATTCATTCATGCATTTATTTATTCAGCAGCCATGAAGGGAGAAAGACAAGCCAGACCTGTCCCATCACTGAAAGGAAGCTGCATGCCAGTCGAGGCATGTGACCTGTTCCCAGTGGTGTGGGGTGATTCATTCTCTGTCTGGTACTAATTGAAAGCCTAACTTCCGTCTTGAGAGCACACATAATCCTCACAAGGAAACGAGATACATTTAATGATTTTTTTTGTTTTTTTACAGATAAGTAAACCAAGGTTCAGAAAATAAAAATTTTTGAGTAAATATTTTAGGAACACCTGCCCCCCCAATAAGTGACAGATCAGAGTTTGAACTCAAAACTTCTGATTTAAATTCAGCGTTGTGTCTCTTTCATCCCAGCTAAAGGTAACTGCTGACAGGCACACAGGGGGAAGGACAGTCACCTGGGGTTAGATGCCGCACCGCCTCAGGGCTTTGACAAAGTGAAGGGCCGTGTCTAACGATCACCACTCCGGTAATCACCACACTTTAAACTCTCACGACTTTAATAAAGACTGTTTAAAGTTCTTAGGCTGTTGTGCAAAGAGCTGGCTTCTCTCTGAGAGGAAAAGTTCCCTGTTGCTCCTGTCACAGCCTCATTTAGAAGCAGTTCCCTGAGCTATGTGCTAATGGCACCCATGCTCATACCCACGGACCAAAAGCCTCTCCAAGAGTTTTTGGAAAGTCTGCATAAAGCTTTCTAAACACAACGCTCTTAAACATGCTGGTGCTGTATTGCGTTTGCAGCCGCCACCGTCCGCAGTCGCTCTCTAACGCCAGGGCCGCCCCTCGCTCGCAGAGCTCCAGCCAAAGGAGAAGAGGGTAAGGAGGCCCGTGTACCGTGGCTCGTACCAAGCAGACTGCCCGTAAATCCACCGGTGGTGCAGTGCCCAGGAAACAACTGGCTGCAAAAGCCGCTCATAAGAGTGCGCCCTCTGCTGGAGGGGTGAACGATAAGAAACCTCATCGTTACAGGCCTGGGACTGTGGCTCTCCGTGAAATCAGACGTTATCAGAAGTCACTGAACTTCTGATCCTCAAGTTCCCTTTCCAGCGTCTGGTTCGAGAAATTGCTCAGGAGTTCAAAACAGATCTGCGCTTCCAGAGCGCAGCTCTCAGTGCTTTGCAGAAGACAAGTGAGGCCTAGCTGGTTGGTCTGTTTGAAGACACCAACCTGTGTGCCATCCATGCCAAACATGTAACAATTATGCCAAAATATATCCAGCTGCATGGCGTGTATGTGGAGAGCGTGCTTAAGAGCCCACTAAGTGGGAAACATTTCATTCTCGAAAATTTTTTCTCTGCCAGTTATTGGTAGATCTGAGTGTTAGATTTTTTTTCATGGGGTCAAATGTACCCAAGTACAGGATTGCAGGTGGGAAACAGGGCACAGAAATCAGGTATTGGCAGTTTTTCCATTTTCATTTGTGTGTGAATTTTTAATATGCGTGCAGGGATGTGAAGCATTAATGCACGTCAAAATGTTTCAGTGAACAAGTTTCAGCACTTCAACTTTATAACAGTTATAAATAAAAATCTGGGCTGGGGATTTAGCTCTGCGGCAATGCGCCTGCCTGGCAAGTGCAAGGTCGTGAGTTCGGTTCCCGGTACCGGAGGGGGGGAAAAAAAAAAAAATCTGTTAGATTTTTCTGGACAATGCCAGCATCTGGATTTTTTAAAAAACAAGTAAATTTCTTATTGACAGCAACTAAATGGTGTTTGTAGCATTTTTATCATACAGTGGATTGCATCCAGTCACTGTACTTTTCTGACTAAGTTGTCTTACATGCTAGTACATGTTTTTAATGTTGTCTGTCTTTCTGTGCTGATCCTGTTAAGTTTGCTATTAAAATACATTAAACTGTTAAAAAAAATGCTGGTGCTTTATCAGTGATGCATGTACACCCATGTTTATAGCAGCATAGTTTGTAATAGTTAAATCAGGGAAACAGCTCAGATGCACATCAGCGGAATGGATAAAGAAAATGTGATTTTTACATTCAGTGGAGTACTACTCTGCCATGAAGAAGGATAAACTTGGATCACTTGTGGGAAAATGGATGCACCTCAAGACCACAATCTTATGTGAGATAAATTGAATACATGTGTTTAAGTATTGCATTCTTTCTCCTGTGTGAGAGACCCACAGGGTAAACACGGAGCATACTGGAGGAGAGATATCGGGAAACAGGAAGAACACGTTCACTGGAAAGGGGAACAGGGAAGGGAGGGGAAGGAAGGACGGAAAAGGAAAGAAAGAATGAAATGAAAAAATGGAAACAAAGCTTCTGTGAATGGGGAGGGGAAGAAGAGTTGAAGGGAAAGGAGGGGAGTAGGAAAAAAAGAATTAAGGTATGTTAAGTGCAGCTGTACATTCCCTATGACGAATGTGATCATTTATACAACAAATATGTAGTAATAAAAAATTAAGTTAAAAAAATTTTAAAATCCTGGTATTTTAATGAGGCCATTTAAGGATCAGAGTCCTATCTGAACATCAGGAAGTCTGCTTTTCCATCTCACAGGCTGGAAGGGAAAAACCCAGCGTGGGTGTCTGCAGAATACCGGGTGACAGTAAAGGGTGCAGTGAAGGATGGCGCTGCCAGCTGAGCAAAGGGAGCATGATGTAAGCGTCCCTTCTCCGCGACCTTCCCCTCCGCCTCCAGGAGGGTGAAGGTATTGGCAAACATCTGAGCTAAGTGCTCTGGCCTGGTGCTCTGGAGCTGGGTCCTGACAGAGACAAGCACCCGAGAGGCCAGTCCTGGCATGAGCCCAGCCCCAGCTGGCTTCTTACTTGTTTGCTGAGTCTGCCTAACTTCCACATCCTTCTTCCTTTCAAGGGTCCTCATGAAAAAACCAGCAATCCTTGTAGACCCGGAGCCCCCTGCCCGTGGGCTTTGCATCTGCCCTCCTGAAAGATTCTGTTGCCACAAAACTTTCCCTGCCAAATGACAAAGCTTCAAAGTGCAAACAAGAAGACTGAATTTTATCGCTCCAGATTGGGTGGTAGCCAAATCAGAACCTCACTCACTTCCAACCTTCCCAGTTATTAAGCAGACTAAGGTAAATCTGAGTTTTTATGTAATATCTTGGGATAGCTGAAAAAGCCTAAAGAGCTACAAGGTCTCATGAAGCATCTTCTACCTACTGAGTAGTAATAGCATTAACTGGTGAATCCCTATTCATTTGTACCTCTTCTCTTAGTAAATATCTACTGAGCACCTACTGCACATATAGGTGGACATCCATCTGGGTATAGAGACAATCTCAGCCCTTCCAGAAAGCAAGAAGTAAAAGTTGTCCTGGTGGTGCTTCATCTCGGTTCTAAGCAATACGTCACAAATACACCACACTACCTGTTTAATAAGCCGGTGAGGCTGACTGGTGCCGAGCACAGCTGGCTGCCCTCATACTGTTTAGTCATCTGAGTGCCGGGCCAGCGCAAGGCCCCCCCACTGGGCTTAATGTACTTAGAACTTTGGCATCTGCCAAAGGCCAACGGAGTTCATTTCAAGACGGCTAGTGGGCACTTCAGGGCTTTAAGTGCGGTCATGTTTAATTTATGAGATTCAGAGCAGACTCTGAAATGGTTAGCGCTCGAGCCTTTACAGGCTGGCCTGGGAATTTGGGAGCTGAGGCATTTGGGGAGGGACTGGAGGAGCCCAGCCTCGGCTGGGGCAGGAAAGTGATGACTCACCCCAAGCCTTTTAGGTGGGGCAGGAAGCAGCTGATTCTTTCTTGCTCTTCGGGCGGGGCCTGCGCTGTCCTGTGAGACAGGTTGCATTAGGATTCTGGCAGGAGTTAAAACTGGCAGCTCTTTCTTCTTGGATTTTTCCTAGGAATCTGGGAAAAGAGTTGAGCAATAAAATGAGCCCAAGGAGATAAGACAGGGAGAAAATGAGGAGCTCGGCCAGGACATCTCCGAGAAGGCCAGCAAATCCAAATAAGGAAGTTTCTTAGGGAGATAAGTAGAACTGCGGCCTGCATCTGTATGGATTTGGAAGGTGAATTTGGTTTGGAGCTCAGACTGAAGCCAGCCTTAAGAAAAGCAAGCTCTCCCGGCCTTAAGCAATAGCCCTCGAATCCTTATCCCTCCTCCCCTGTAGCTATCACTTCTTCTTCTGGTACAGATAAGATTGGCAGCTATGTCCTGGAACAGAGTTTCTGTCATATTGTTCCCTCAGGACTCATAAGGCTCTGTCTCTGTCAAGGCTAAGTTGTTTATTGCCTTTAATTGCTTTGAGAGTCTTGCTCTGCAACCTTGGAAGAAATGAGAGTCTTTCTTCTGTACCCGCACCTGCCCCTTCCCCAGCCCCCTCAGCAAAATGTATAAAAACTGGAGCCTTTCCTTCAGGGCTTGCTCAGCCATTTTGGACCTCATAAGGTCGAACCGAGCAGGTGTGCACCTCAACCCAAGAAGCCCTTCCGTTTCCCTATCAGTCTCCTTGATCTCTTGGACTCTGCAACAAGACCGGAGAGAAACCTCTGAAGTTGTTGTCTTCCAGGAACGGCCAGCAGACTGCAGAGGCCCTTTTGCCTGGCCTGGCACCAGCGAGTTGGACTTTGGCTCAGTCCTTTTGACTTCAGCTTGTCTGCATTCTTTGTGTCTCAGAATCCTCAAGTGCAAAATAGGGTTAATGATAGAAGACCCCACACGGTTGTGAGGGTTGGTGAGTCAAAACCTATGAAACCCCTAGAACGATGTGTGGCTCAGAGTAAGGACTTAAGAAATGTTTAACTACTATTACAGTGTAGGAGGGAATCAAGAAGAAGGTAAAGAGATTGAATCCAGGGACTTGTGCTCTACCATTGAGCTGCACCCCTAGCCCACCAGATCAGAGCTTCTTAAATGTGAATGGCACACAAATCACCTGGGGACCCTGGGTACACCTGAGGATCTTAGCAAAGAGCAGACTGACTTGGCAAGTCTGGGACAGCCAGGGCTCTGTGTTTTTCACACACTCCCTGGTGGTGGCCTCACAGACACTGAGTCCCAAGGATGTGGCCAGCACAGCCTGCAGACCTTGTGGTGAGGACACAGTACTCACTCACAGTAAGCACTTTGCTTATGGAGGCTTTGGCTCGAGCTGGAGGGTGATGTTTAAATTTGCATGTGCCGAGTGCCTACCTGATTGCATGGCATAGCTCTGCATGCCTACTCAGGAGCTCAGAGTCATAATTCTGATCCTTGTTAGAGTCATCAAACTATGTTCAAGACCACACTTGTCTTAGGAAACCATGAGAATGAAACCGAAAAAGTGTATACAACTCTAACAAAACCATCTACACACCCAGAAAATACGCTCAGCATATGTGCTCTGGTCCTGTAAATGCCAGTAAAATAATCTCCTTGTGGATAAACTTCCTGGCAGAATGATCTGACCAAGTTCCTTCTCTCACCTCTGGGTTAGAGTTAGAGCCACAGCTCATAGTCTGTGTATCAGTAAAGAAAAAATAAAAAGAAAATATTAAAGTAACATTATGACAAACACGGCTCATTTCATTTCTAAATGGTTTTCCTTGCAGGCCTTCAGTGCATGTCCTTGATAGGCTGACGCTTCATAAAAATAGGCATTCTTTTAAAAAGGGAAGCCGAAAGCTGGGCATGGGGAGGTAGGCCAAGCCCCGCAGTCTGGGAGGCTGAGGCAAAAGGGTTGAAACTTTGAGGCCAGGCTGGGAAACTTAGTGACTGCAAGATCTTGTCTCAAAAATAAAAGAGGGTAGAAATTGGATTGGGATCCAGTCTCCAATACCAGGGAAGGAAAAAAAAAAGGCAAGGGGCTTTGCTGTACTCTATTGAGCAGAGATGAGAAGAACTTGAAGAATTTGATAAATAGCAAGTTTTCTGAGACTGGAAATTATAAAACTTTTTAGCTGTCCTCAGGTGTTGCAAATAGTGTTCAGTTCACACCAGGGCTCTCAATGTGATGGACATGTCAAGCATCCCGGATAAATGGCGAGAAACCTTAGCTCGTATCGGTAACAGACGCATGAGCCTGATCCAGAATGCAGAGCTGGACTCTGAACAGATGCCTGGTACCTGAGCAGGATAGCAGCCCTGTGTTTCACTATCTCTTGCTGAGAAAAGTGCCATGCTGTCTCCTGCTCTCGATGCTCTAGGTATGTAAACAGTCAGTTTCAGTTGTCAGTTTCAGCCACTGTCCTGATTTTATGAATAGCTGCATTTTTAAGCACTTTGCATTTTTAGCATGTGAGTATTTGAAACCATAAGATAATAATTTACACATAGGTACTAAGTAAAGAGCTATTATACTAGTTGTGAGAAATGTGCACCACAGTGAAGAAAATCTAATTGAATTTAATAACCATTAAGGCTTTACTACTCACTTGTTATTTCATAATAGTTGAAATTATTTCCATGTCATCATTGTTTTTTTCAAATATCAGAGGAACGAGATACAATGAGCGATTATCCAGTGCATACCCCCATGCCATGCTGCAAGGTGTGTGTGTCAAAAAGAGCATGTGTTGAACACGACTGATTCGATTTTTGTTCAAAAACAAAACTGGGTTTCCTGCCATAATGAATAGTGAAAGAAGCCTTAGGAAAAAGGGCGGTCTGTCTTACGCTGGCTCTACACAGCACCTCCTAAAGCTGTGTCTTCGCATTTTGGGTTCCATTCTAACAGACTCAAAAGCATGTTGTTGGGGTAAGAGGTGAAGGAGGAAAAAGAAGCAGATAAATAGCCAAGTATTTCCTGAGAAATATGAGAACTGAATAAGAAACAGGATGTAAACTTAATAAATAATGAAATGAAGAGAATAAAAAAGATAATTGTCATTCAGATATATTTTTAAATTCACTGCTATAAATTAGTTGCCTCCCATTGACATGATAGATTTTGAAATATACAACAGCAGGACTATAAAGATATGAAAACACATTGGTCCTTAAATTGCTCAAGCTTGAGAAACGAGAGCTAGCAGTGTGATTGTCTACACGGCTACCCGGACTTGAAATGTTAAAAATTCTCGTGGACAATTATTGTCCTTATTTTGCAAACACCTAGATTGCTGCTTTCGATGAAGCTGCTGTACAGAACTTGTCTCCAGGGTCCTTGACACAGAGCTTCTGTTGAGAACCCTGGGGTCGGGAAGCGCAAGCGTGGTTGGGGACGCTCGTAGTTGAGAAGACAGAATACTTCTAACTCCACTGAATACTTTTCGTCAGGAGTCGCAGGTTAGGTCCCAAATAACAACACCCCCCTGAGCCCAGCCGCAGAAGGGTCCCCGCCTCCTTGTGCCCAAGGCTACGAGCTGTTCTGGGCACAGCCTGCTGCCCCGCCGCTCCCTTCCTGGGGGTGTTTGTCCCAATGCACTCTGCCGCCCAGGGCAGGAGTGTTAATTGCAGCTCTCTAGCACATCTCTTTGCAGTGTGACCAAAGAGAAAGAAAAATGCACTACATCTTAGATTTAGTCATTGACTAATGAGAGGAAATAATGGAATTGGATTAATCAGGACTTTTTTGGCTGGAGTGACAGATCCCCAATTTAAAACCAGATAACGCAAAAACAAGACATTAGTCAAGGGTACTAGCATGTCTTATAGAGCCCGATGCAAGACGTGAGGCTGGGTCTCAGGAAGGAATGGATCCAGGGTTTCAGATCCTTCTGCTGCTCTGAGGGTTGTACACCTGCTTCCTTCCCTCCCTTACTCAGCCCTCCTGCTTCCAGCACAGCGGACCCACCCCAGCCGAGGAGGAACTGCTCTATTCCCCCAAAGCCTTGGGATATCGAAGAAGTGTGTTACACACTGACCCCCACATTCCTGCTTCTCCTGGGCGGCCACCCTCTCTGCCTGGACTCCCTGGGAACTACAAGGGAAGGCTTCACCCATGCCCAGGAGGAGACTCTGTTTCCTCTGCCTGCTGAAATCCTATTCCCCTTTCAGCATAAATCTCAAATCTGTGAGGCTTGCTCGATTCTTCCATTCCAAATCAATCCCATCTTCATGTATCCCCAGCACTCTGTCTGCTCTGCTGAGTGAATTACTAATCTTCTAAAGTCCTCTCCACTGGGCAGAGGAACAGTTGGCTTTGGCCCCTCATACCATTGGGTTGCCAGGACACCTCAAACAAGTTATCTCAACAATGACAGGTCTAAAGATGGCCACAGAGAGCATATGGCCACGCCATTATGTTAAATCAACAAAGAGGCCCGGTGGGGTGACACCTGCCTATAACCCCAGCACTTGGGAGGCTGTCACAGGAAGACTGCTGAATTTGAGGCCAACCTGGGTCAAAGGCACCCTGAACTCCAAAGTGAGACTTTGTCTCGAAAAACAAAATAAACAAACAAACAAGGAGATAGCTACTATGTGTAGACCCAGCTCTCTTGAGAGAAAAAGTTAAAATACTGGCTCAAAGGAACGTTGAAAAGACACAGTAGCATTTTGCTTTCTTTTCAGAGCTTTCGTTCCTGTCAACATCTAAGCGCGGCCCTGCAAAATTCTGTGGCGCTCCAGCTTGTTGACGTCCAGATACCGTTTCATCCTAACGAGCAGGAACCACTTCCCTCTTTGTTAAAGTTCGAAGAGTAGGATGTAGGGGGAAAAAAAGCGTTTCTTTTGTTTCAAAAGTTTTCCCTTTGAAATCTGTTCTTTTGTGATATCTGAAGGTTTATAGTGAGAAACAACAAACTCACATAGGACAATCCGGCTTCTGCGGCACAGTCCAGTCCGCTCTTACCACCTGTGGCTTTTACGTCTTTCCAAACAACAGAGCTATGTCCTCTTCCCCTTTATGGGGCGGACTCTGGCAGCAGCCACCAGCGGGGTCAGGGATTGCCCCATCT